TTGCAGTGAGCTGAGATCCGGCCACTGCACTCCAGCCTGGGCGACAGAGCGAGACTCCGTCTCAAAAAAAAAAAAAAAAAAAAAGAAAATAAACAAAATAATATGTCATCATACCTGTCCCATGGTCATAGATTTTCAACTCTTTGAAGTCTAAACTACCTAGTATAGTAACGAAGTTTGCTTTCAATGTGCTTTCAGCTTGCCTTTACCATTTCCCCAGCTCTGGCCATGTTAAACCAATTGCTGTTCCTCAAACCCTCAATGCATTTTGTTCATGTCTCTCTGCCTTTATTCAAACTGTACCCTTTGCTTTGGATGTCCTTTTCCTTCCATCTCACTCAACTTCTTCTAAGTGATTTCTTATTTTTCCTTTATGGCTAAGGTATATTCCTTATCACTACCTTTCTCCTCTTGCTTAAATTTTTCAGGAAAGGAATGATATCTTATTCAGTTCTGCTTCCCCAAAATGCCTAGCAGAGTGTCTGGCACATAGTTGGTACTCAGGATGAAAAGATGAAAGCATGAGCTTCTTGGCTGGCTGGAAGGACGGATGGACATGGATGAATAAATGCTGTGAAGAGCCGTGCCATGAATAGTAATTCAGCAGCGAAATCACTCTGTTGCATTCAGGACATGGGATCCTGAGGTAGCGATGCTGGGATGCTCTTGAACATGGGGAATGATGAGACAGCTGGCATCAGGGCTGTCTTCAACAATGGAAACCTCAAGGATGTTCATAGTGTCCATAATGACATCAGACCATGGCCATAGGCTCCTTGAGCCATCCTCTCAACTAGGTAATTCATAGAGGTTGTCAAAACCTGTAGATATGTTAAGTTTTTTTTTTTCTCAGATGCAGAGTTCAGTCTCCTAGTGGGAAAGATACTTCTCAAATATGCTAGACGAATCTGTGAAGGAAATGCTGCACACCTCAGGTTCTCACATGGTCTAGGACTCCGTGTTCCTTCTCTTCTTCCGGGGTTTGGCTGCTACCTGAAATTTCTGAAAGGCCTACTACTCTCCATGGTCCAGGACAGGAAGGAATCAATAGGGGCCAACACCATTTACTAAATGATGAGAACTCAAGAGTTGCAAAACACAGAAATAAATCATGTTTGAGGAGGAATAGGAGGGAAAGTGGGAAGGAGAAAAGGGTCATGGGAGAAGATGGCAGGAAGGGCACTTCTTTCTTTCTCATTCCATTTTGGAAACAAGGAGTGTATCCTTGGGAAGTGTCCAGAAAAATGAGAGATGGCTTTACATTAATCCTAACTATGGACTGTGAGAAAGCCACAGCTAATTCACTGGAGGGAAGGTCCTCATTTGGACTTTTTTTGTAAGGGTTTTCTGAAATGAAAAGTAGTCAAGGGATTTAAATTCTTCAAGCAATTAGCAATATGTGGTTTTCAAATGCAGCCAGGAATGAATCATCTACAAATAAAGGCTTATCTTTGTTGTGGATGAGCAGCTGAGAGCCTGAAGGTAGTCTTTAAGGAAGCCATTCTGAGACTCCAACCACCCTCAAGATTCTTTCAGAAACAACAGCAACTAGTATAAAAAAAAAAAAAAAAAAAAAAGCAAGGAACAGGTAGGTAGGCCTGGAAGCAGGAAATAAAAAGCTATATCTATTAAGTATCTCTGAGCTGAAGAGATTCCATCACCAAACAGTGAATGAAACACTATAGAGAAAGCCAGATTAGAGATCTTGAGGCCTCAAGACCAAGCAGCCATCAGCTGAAAAGTGCCAGCTTCTTTAAGATACAGAGACAGCCCTTCTGCCCTCCACTCTCTCAATAATCTGTCTAGTCTACTTTTAGACAGATATCTTAAGTAGGTATGAATGGAGGTAGATACAATTACGATGTATCAAAGCACTCAAGTCTCATTATCTATACTTCTGGGAGCAGGGAACAGACAATCTAAGAAAGGGCTGAAAAACAATCCTTTCTGCGTGGCTTTTTACACAGAATCACAAAATGTTAGCACCAGAAAGGTCCTTGGTGAAGCCCACAATTCCAATTCTATGATGGGAAAACCAAGCATCAGAGAAGAGAAGGGACTTGCCCAAGGCCACATTTCTAGTTGTCATTTTGGGATATATTATATAATTTTGATTTGAGTGATGAGAATCAGAAGATAAAATTATATGAATTCTTCTTCAAGGTAATCAATATGTCTATGCTAAATCCACATCTCATGAAAATGGAAGTCTACTCCTTAAGGAATAGACAAGGGCCACTTTGTATTGACACTTTCTTTTCCGTTGTTTGAGTAAAGGTGTGCTGTGCATTGAATGTGTAAGTTAACAATAAACGTGGGAGGGAGTTGTGTCAGTAGGGCAGGGAATGTGGAGATAAGTTCATTCACCAAAGTGGAAAGATTTGCTCTTCAAGCAGTGATTTAAGAAGGTACACAATTGGGTTTTTACTGGCATGGTACTTGAACATAGCATATGATTCCCTTAATTACTAAAATTAGCTTCTGAACAGGATCCTGGTGGAACTTTTTGGTTTGAGGTAATCAAGAGTGTTTTCTGGCGATGCTCTGCCTGTTGGATCTGTTACATATTATATGGCATACCAAGTTACTTAGGGTAAAAGCCATCGGGAAGTGCTGTGTTACAGCCTTTCCAGCTAAATTACTAGTGACCTCAATGACATATTAAGCCCCCACATTTGTCTAGCATTTTGCTATTTATCAAGGATGTTCACATTCATCATGTCATCTGATCTTCATTATAATTCTATGAGGATGGTATTTCTAAATCACAGACGAAGATCTTGAAGCTCAGAGGGGCACACATTAAATAAAGGAGCTGAGCCTTTAAACTAGATCTGCCTGACTCTAAAGGCAAGGCCATTTACACAACATCAAGAATGCTGGTATCTTGTGAACATTTCCTGAAGTTTGCCAGCCTCAAGCTCTAATGACTAGCATGGTGCCTTGTACATGGAAGATGCTCAAAATATCATGGGCCTGCAACTGAAATGAAGGCCAGTCACAACACTTCTCAGCTTGTCTTCATTGTGTTCACCAAGCCCACTCAAATTTGAGTACTCTACTAATAAATCAATTTGAAAATGTACTGAACCATTCTCACCAATAAATTAATTTACAAACCTGCATCTGAGTACTATATAGTATAGTGAAATTATCTGTTATACACAGGCTCCTTTTCAAAAGCGGGTCACTGTAATCATATCACAGCCTGATTTATAATGGAGAATGTTGGCTGAGACATGGAATTAATGTTAAGATTTGTATCCAAATGTTATGAGGACTTTTGTTACCATTAAACTTTACCTGCATCAAAGTGGACTTGCAATTCATATTGCCAGATGACCAGCCAAGAGGTTCCCTACCTGAGAGTCTCTATCTCTTATACTATACATAATTCGCAGAAGGCTAAATAATTGAAAGCTGAGTGTATAAGAACCCTCAACATGGGGCTGCAACATTTATATGGAGAACATTTTCTCTTGTCAATCACTTTGTCACCCTTCCTGCCTTTGCCTCCGTACTCCCTGACCCCAGTCCTACTTCTTCTCCACTGTAGACCTCAATTGTTGGATTTCTTTGGGGTACACTAAGCAAACCAAAACAAGGTTGAGTTTTCTCAGATATCTGATTCTCATTTGATAGGGATGCTTGGAAAGCCACTCACAGAACATCTACCTGTGATGTTTGGGAGTACTGGATGCTACTTGAGATGATTCTTTTGAAATTGTCTCTCATCCAGCCTGGGTCAATTCATTTGAGGTACTTTGTTCTGTTTAAATAATACCACTGCCCTGTGAGGATGGGAAGGATATAGTTATCTACATATAGATTCACACATGGCCCTGTTCCAGGATAAGAGCACTAGTTGTTGTCTATAGATGTGCACATAGGCAGACAAGGTATTGAACAACTCACAGAAAGCCAGTGATAGACAACTGGTCTAAATTAGCCTTAAGAGGATAGGGGAAAGGGTTGGATTCTAGGCACTTGGGTTTTCCAGGCTAATAATGAATAATCGGATATGAGGCTACAGTTGCAGGCACTCAGAAATAGGCTTGCCTTTCTTCAAATTCCATTTCCAAATTGAAGTAGATTAATGATCTTGTTTTTCTAAGGAAAGACACATATTTTTGGAAGCAGCAGGCTGCAGTGATGACCCTGGCATTGGGCAGATGTAAACATGGAGAGATGGGGGAGTTTGGAGAGGGAAAATATAAATGTCAATCAACTGATGTCAAGCCTTTCTGGAATGATGACAACACTCATGGCAGACAGGTTCATGGGACAGAGAGCCTTATGATAGAGGAACACCCTTGAAAGAGCTGTATCTTCCTTCTGTAATGTTACTGTCCTACTGAAAAAAAAATGCTTTTGGAAATGATCAATAGCTTTGCAAAGAAAAGGAAATGATTAAAACACCTGTTCATCTTTGGGAGAGATAGGATAGGAAATTGGCACTGTTTGTCAGCCTAGTCACAGGCTCCAAAGAGAAGCAGCTTCTCATTCCAGGTGGCTGGCCCTACAACATAGGCAGCAGTTAGCTGAGGGATATTCCCAGGTGTTCAGGGTCAGACTGTGCCTGGGTCATCCTGTACCTATGCCTGGGTCATCCTGCACCTGTGACTGTTCTGGATTTCTTAGTTCTCTCATCCTAGCTACCATTGAACAACATCAGGTCAGTACCATTAAGTCCCCTGGGGACCCTGCCCAGTCACATGCATCCTCACTCACCCTCTGTTGGCTCCTTATCCCTGCTTCACACCTCCTGCTCTAATGCTGAGCCCCAGAATGGGGATTGGTATAGTTAAGGATTAAAAAAAAAAAGGCACCAGCTGGCTGATGGCCACGTTGGCTATGAAAGGGTCCGCCTGTGTCTGGAGCATGGCTGGTCCCCTTGGAAGCATCAAAGAAGAAAATCTGGTTTAAAGAGAGACTAGAAAATGAGGGAGGAAAAGGGGAGACAGGAAGGAGGAGGAAGAAGAGAAAGAAAAGTATCTTACCTCCCAGAGTCATCCCTGCTTCATAACATTTCCGAAGACGGCAAGATGGACAATTTTTCCTTCGGAATTTATCAATAGTGCAATCATTTCTGCTGGCACACAGGTACTTCTGTTTCCCTGGGATAACAAATACAAGAGTGGACAGACCTGTTAATGAGTTTCCAGAGTCTCTTTCTTTGGGTATTTCTAGAACAGAAAAGATATAAAATTATATCCTATCACATGAGAAAAGTGGACAGAAAAGTGGACAGAGTATGGCACCAAACAATTTGATCCTACAGAACCTAAATATTAAAGCAGTTTAATTTGGCACTATATTATTTGATTTCCATTGGTTTTTTTTTTTGTTTTGTTTTGTTTTTTTTTGTTTTTTTTGTTTTTTTTTAGGGATGAACAATTCAGATCCTGATGATATCTCCATTATTAGGACTACTCACTGGTTTTTAAAATAAGATGCCCTACTTTTACCAAAAGCCAGAAATGCCCATGAGAAAATGATCCATTGTGGAACTTGTCACCCCTTTAGCATGGCGTAGAAGAGATCTGAACTCAGTCAATGTTTCTTCCTATTGACACCTGTAATCATGCATAGAATTACACTCAAGTTAACAAGATGCTTATTTTTCATAATATTAGTACAGGAAAACTTCTATAAAAGATAACTCCATGGGATTTCTAACTGTTTTTAGATTTCTGGTGATCATACCCCTAGTCATGCAGGTTATAAAAATCAGAGATAAAGCCCACTCTATGTAGTGAATCACAGCAACTAAAAGGAAGTTTGATGAAGCCAACAGAGTAACAAAGATCACTGTCATGCACACCTGGAGTTGTCACAGATACACAGAAGTGCATACACATACACATGCTCAGACCTAGAGATCCTCAGAATTACAGCTGCTCAAACATATTTTGCTCAATACTTCGCTCCTTTATGCTAGCACAATCCTGGCACACAGCAGTCTCTCAACAAACGTGGATTGACTGACTAAACATGCAATTGCAGCAGATGGATGCATAGACAAAGAGTCACCAGCAGGAATAAGCAAAAATACATCCTTCGCTGCTCTGAAGCACGCAGAACTTCTCATGCTTACAATCCTGCTCCAGCTTGAGCTTCTGCATCCCCTCACTCCTTTTTGTCTCTAGTATTGTTTCCTCAAATTTATTGCTGTGCTTTGATTTACTGGATAGACTGGGATTTTAGGGAAGCTTCTTTAGGCAGAGGAAGAATACTTGCGGTCGGAAAAAGAAAGAGAAACTAAAGAGTGATTGACATTTGAGAGTAGAAAAAAAAAGCAACTAAAAACATAAATTTAACTATACATCAGCATTCCTCTACATTTACTAAGGCTAAAAGGTGAAGATTAGGCACAGAAATGCATGTGTTACAGTAGGCTATTTTATGTAGTAGGTTCAGTAGTAACCAGGTCAGCAAAGAACTTCTTTTACTTAAAGTGCTACTTGCAAGAGCATGAGATTAGATTTATTGTAGTAAAGGATTCTTTTTCCTTTCCTCCTTTTTAACTTTTTATTTCCTTTTTTTTCCTTTAATTTTCCTTTCTCCTTTCCTTCCTTTCTCCCTTTATGAAAGGATTCCAAAATGCTTGGCTTGAAGGAACTGTTAAAAATCACAACAGAACAACTCTCATTCCAAGGAGGAGTTCCAGGGAAGTGAATTACCTGAAGAAGCACACTGAATCAGAGGCCCCCAAAGGAAAAACTCTAGTATTTATTGGGTGCCTACTATGAACCAGGCCTGTGTTAGGGTTTTTTAACATATGAGAAAACTAAGGCCTCTAGGCCGGTGCTCTTTCTAGTATACCACAGGATTTTATTTGCATAAACAGAGCACATAATTTGCTAACAGCTTTTTTTTCTGCTGCAAACTGAGGACTACGATATGTGCACAGAAAGGACAGTGCTACGAGTGCTTTCAGCCTTTGGGTGTTAGCTCCTCAAAAACAGGTCCTGTATCCAATTCTAGTGCGTTCAATTCCAATGCTGTAGCTGTTCTAGAACTGGTACACTCCCACAGTATTGGTACTGCTGCAATCCTCAAGACCAGTTTGCTACACTGATTACTGAAATAAGCTTAGGTTAGAAAGTGCATGACTTCTTTGAGAAATCTCATCTTCCCCAGGAAAATACTTTCCTGGACCCCAGTTTGCCAATAAATGATTGCACAGCCAATGGAATATGGCTCCCAGAATGCCAGAATGGTTCTACATTGCCCTTTTGAAAGAGAATCACTCTGTGAATGAGAGAGGTCATAGTGGAAAAGCATGATTTTTTTTTTTTTTTTCAATTTGGGACTCAGATAATTTTCTTAGCATAGTTCATACCTTTTCTCTGGGTACATCTTGGTCTAAAACAAGGAGACCTAAAACATAGATATTATTTACAATTTACTCAGGAGTAAGTGCAAGGCCCAGTAAAACCAAAGCCATGACATATTAATTTAACATTTACTGGTAATCTATTATGTGCAAGGCCCTGCATTGGATATTGAGGTTACAGAGGAAAATCTCTAATGAACAAAAATATACAAGTCCCAGATGAGAGACAGATCAGTGGGCTGGAAGCCCCAACATCTGAATCCTTGTTCAGCCTTATCACTAACTCACTATATGACCTTGGACAAGTCCTTTTGCCTCTCTGATCCCACTGATTACATGAAATAGATTGGACTGGAAAGTCATTAAAATCTTTTCCAACTCTAAGAATCTTGAAGGACATCTGGATGTCTTCTGTAATATATTTAGAGTGGTTTTTTTTTTTTTTTAAATGTAAAGGACTTAAGTATTACTGGTAAGCAAGAAATTATCCAAAATAATAATCTCTTGTCCTTGTATTCTGTCTTTTTAGGATAGTAACTTATTGCAACATTGTCTCTTACATCTAGAATCATTTAGTCTCTTGTCTTTGTTTTCTAAAGCTCTCCCAAAACTCAAAGTGGTTAATATTGCCTTAGAAAGGCACTGATGTTGCCAGTCACATGCAACATAAGCATAAACATTCTAATGAACATGTGTGTATTCATGTATGTGTGAGTGCATAGGTGTGTGAGAGTGTGTGACTGAATAATTAACACAGGGAATACAACACCTGCACACTAATTATCTGTGCATATGTGGGTGATCATATAAAGCATAAAACACACCAAAACATACAAATAGGTACACATGACACATGTGTTCCTTCAAAGCAGAATGATGAATTTAACGTTTAAAATGACATTTAATAGTGACAGAAGTGGCTGAGGATTCCAAAGATGGATATGAAAGGAATCTTTTTTTCTGTAAGTCCTAAAAATAAGACCTTATTTATCTGTACAATTTGGTTTAAGGACAAATATAGGGGATGGAACAGGTAATCTCTCAAGACTGCTTACAAGTCACTTCTCCTATCTGAATTATCACTTCCCCAAATGATGATAGAGCCAAGGTAAAATCATTGGTCTGCTATTATTTCTTTCCTATTTATTCAATTTCTCCAAATATATGAATGAGGCTATTAGAGTTCTTAACAGTAACAATAATCACTCTCATTTGATTAGTTTACAAAGTTTAATAATAATCTGCAAGGCCAGGTGCAGTGGCTCACTCCTGTAATACCAGCACTTTGGGAGACCAAGGTGGAAAGATTGCTTGAGCACAGGAGTTTGAGACCAGCCTGGGTAACATAGTGAGACTCCGTCTCTATAAAAAAATGAAAAAAAGAAAATTAGTTAGGCATGGTGGTGTGCACCTGAAGTCCCAGCTACTCAGGAGGCTGAGGGGCTGGATCCTTTGTGCCTGGGAGGTCGTGGTTTAAGTAAGCTGTGATTGTGGTACTGCACTCCAGCCTGGGTGACAGAGTGAGACCCTGTCTCAAAATAATAATAAAATAATAATAATTGTGCAAAGTAAGTATAATAGGGATTATTACATACTTCATTCTATGATGAAGAAAATGAGACTCATTAATATGAAATTGGCTAGGACTTCCAGTACTATGTTAAATAGAAGTGATGAGAGTGAGCATCCTTATCTCATTCCTGGTCATTGAATATAATGTTAGCTGTGGGCTTGTCTGATATGGCCTTTATTGTGTTGAGAAACATTCCTTCTAATACCCAATTTCTTGAAAGATTTCATCATAAAATGATGTTGAATTTTGTCAAATTATTTTTCTGCATCTATTGAGATGATCATATAGTTTTTGTCCTTCATTCTGTTAATATTATTGATTTGCATATGTTGAACCATCCTTGCATTCCAGAAACAATACTAGTCTTTTGTTGAGGAACCTTGCATTGATGTTGATCAGAGATATTGTTCTGCCTGGCATCACATCCTTGGTTTGCTGCAAATCACAGTCCATAAGGTTATGAATCCCAGATTAGTTGGAAAGAATTTTTAAAGACTTTTTGGTTGTATCACATCCATTCCTCCATACAAGGCTTGAATTGTCTCTGTAGCATCCCTGCAAAGTATTGCCCAATCTTTTCTTGAATGCAGCCCGTTTTATCTCTGGACTGTGTTATGTGTCCTTTCCTTCCAGGAAACTCACTGTTTCCTTATAGCTCTAACCCATTGGGCCTAATTAGAAACACAGAATCATTGGGCTGTAAAGAATCTTAAAATGCCCAGTGTGATGCCTGACTCTTCAGTTAAGAAAATGGGCACAAAATATTGAAATTACATGCCCCAAGCCACAGCAAGTTGGTGTTAGTGCCAGCACAAAAATCTGGAAACTGGATCCAAAGGAAATATGGTGTGGGTGATTACAGTCTGAAGACAAAGTCTTCTGAGTGTGGTAGAAATCTTTGCTCTTTGTCTAGGAAGTATATGACCTTGTGGATCCCTTCTCTGTATTCAAGTGACAGAAGAAGTGTGTAAATGAGATCTAGGCCTGCTGTAAGGTGGTTCTAGAAGGTCTTCTATAACCTAAGAGACTGAAAAATTAACACAGGGAATACAACTTCCTAGGCAGCTCTCCCTCCTCAGATACTACAAACATTATACCCAGTTTTTTGACACTGTTAATTTCCAACAGCAAAGTTGTATCCACAGTGTATAATGAAGGGCTCACTATAAGTCATTGTGAAATGAGTGACAAAATACAAAAATCTT